TGTGCATAAAATTTATAACTCCACGTCTAAACTCAATGTAAACAAAAACATTTAGATCCGTAACCGGTCAAAAATCTAAAATATATCAGAATGAATTTTGTAGAATGGTACAAAATATCTTTGAATCAAAGTGTTATTAGCCAGACCCGAATGAATAACCCAAAAATCAAAAATATGAAAAAAAATCTAAATCGATATGAATGTCCAAATTAATCATAAATATAAATATTTGAAACATAAATATCTAGTTTAAGTATTCGGTTGTATATTTAAATAAGTACTTTAATATCGAGTTCTATAAAAATAAGTATCTTTTTTTTGTTTTGTTTTTAGATTTTAGATTTTCAAACCAATATAAATCGAATCCGAACGATATATGGTTAATTTATCGGTTTTAGGATGTGTAGAAAATAGAACCAAACCCGACGTGTTATATTTGAATTTGATCCATACTTACAAACATGCCTACTTACAAATTATGACACCTATGATGTGATATAAATTAGCTTTGATTCAAAATATTTTACTCGTATCTCAATAGGTACTTGAAGCATAACTTAGATTATGTTTTATATTTTTTTAAATTGATTTTATATTTGATAAATATTTTGTCTGTTTATTGGAATAAACCGTAAAATTAGAATCATAAATTATTAGTAATAACATGTTTCATCATATAATTAAATATTATTAGTAGCTATTATTAATATTTATTTTACTAGAAATATATATATATATAAAAACGATTTTAGGACTTTATCTATAATAATTATATTATTACGTATTGGTGGAGGTTTAAAGAATTTGTTTATTATTTTGTGTATCAGTTACATATAATTAAATATTAATTTTTTATATCATAATGCTTTAATTTAGATTTGTATATTAAAATCTAAAATTATTTCTTTTTTTAATATCTTATGGTGGTATTTTGTTATTCTATAAACGTAATTCATTTAGTTTATAATTTATAAAGTAGATTAATTTCTACTATAATTATTATTTTGTGTAATTTTTAGTTATAGATACGAAATATTTATATATAAATGTTATAGAAGGTTGTTCTTATTCTATAAATCAAAATGAGTTAATATTCATTATTCATTTTATTTAATATTATTTTAAGTTTTTTATTATTAAAAGTATTAAAAAAATAAATATTTATTTTAAATATAAAAATATTTTAAAGATATTGTTAAGAGTATCTTTTGATATCTTATTTTGAATATATTTAAATATTATATTAGTATTATGTATTCATTTAATAATAACTAAGTTTGTTGTATGTAATATAACATAAAATTAAATAAATGTAATGTTTTAATTTAGACTATTTGTAAAGTAGATAAAATGTGTTTCTGTTTTAAAAGTATTTGATTAATCCACAGATAGAATTCTCCTGGAAGAAGCAAGACGCTGACCTTCTCGATTTTCATCCAATTTTCGGCCTTTGGGCCATGATTTTGCTTTTGGGCTAAAAACGAAAAATTCCTGATTATAAAAATATTTTTTATGCATCAAGATATAGGAGGATTTAACTTAAATTTTGACTCTAGCAACCTATAAAAGAGACTTCAAAACCTAGAACAGGGAATCAACTATTATTTACTTTCGACTAAGAAGTAAGCCACTAAAACTAGGATTTATACACTAATATGTTGTACTTCTGCTCTTAAGATCAATAAAAATTACATATGATTCTCTCCTTTTTTTTTGGTTCATGTTTTCATAGTATCACGAAGAATCAATCTATATTTTATCCTAACCGTTTGATTATAGAAAGAGTGGGTAACCATGACTACATGAAGATGATCACCGGAAGTGACCATGATTTTTCTCGTAATGCCAAATTACTTAAAATTCAAAAAAAAAAAAGAATACTTTTTATACATTCTTATAGGAAACTTATATATAATCTATATATTATTTATATGTATCCTGTAAATATAAAGTTACTAAGGGTGATAGATATCAAATCCCTCTATATATTAAAAGAGAAGTACATTAGCCAAGTGGCACTTACACAGCCATTCTCAGAAGAATTTTAGCGATTCTATTGGTTGATTTTTTAGAATTTATTTTTGATTTATTTTTACCATCAACACTACTAAAAAGGAAATCCATTTAAATACATACCTTTTGTGTTTTCTCGATTCAAAGAACATCCTTTTGCGATCTTTTCTCTAATTAATTCATTAAATACTCATTAAATATTTTAGATGTCAGAGAAACAAAATTAATTGACAAGATATTTTCACTCTTAAAATCATGTATTTAAAACAAAATTAATTGATAAGATATTTTCTCTCCTAAAATCATGCATTTAAAACTTAAACCAAAATTCTGGTGCAATCTATTCACGAGATGTTCTCCTTTAGCTTTATCAACAAGATATTCCAAAAATAATATTACCTTAAAAGTATAAGATTTACTGAGATTAGTAGATTTATATTATTGTTTAGAATTATAAGCTTATATATACATATATATTTCTTTGGTTTGCTGATTGTGATTTTGTTTTGTGATCTTTTTAATTAAAATTAAATATATATATAGTAATATTTATTAATCAAAAAGTTATATCAACTACTTTTTATATTTATTATTTCCTTATTATATATCATTTAATATTTAAATATCTAGAGTTTAAATGTAATTTACCTTAATGTTTTTAGTTTATTAATAACCTACCTTATTTCGAACACATATTACTTGTGCAACTTCAAATTATATTTATTGCATTGTTTTAATGCAATTTACCTTAATGTTTCTACTTTGTTAATCGTCTTTATAAACTTATTTTGAACACATAGTACTTGTGCAACTTCAAATCATATTTATTACATTGTTTTAATGCAATTTACCTTAATGTTTCTAATTTGTTAATTCATTTTAAAAAACTTACCTTATTTTGAATATGATTTAATTGCACAAGTTTATAACATATTAATTGTAAATCATTTAATGACAATATAACTTTAATATCTTTCTTTAAACTGTTTCATTATTTATTATGAAATTATTTTTCTAAACATCATTGGTTATGAAAATATCTCCCTAATAACATAAGAAAAAAGGAAGGTAGAGTACATATAAAGGAGACACCTAAGGGATGTCAACACTAACTTATTAGTCTATTTTTATTCGATAAAAAAATTTAAATTTATAAATTCTTACATTTGTTTGTTTTTTCTATTAACAGATAAATAACACAGACGAAAGACCGGTTGTAGTTAACTACAAACCATTTATCAGTTTGTTTCAATAGTGATATGCAAATTTAATATTATTTTTGTCTCAATAAAATTTAGAAATCTATTAAATTATTTTATATTGTACAGTTGCTAACAAAATTTGACAATTTTTTGCAGGTTTCTATGGGATATTTTTGATTCATAATTGTTCTTCTTATTTTATATTACTTATTTAATTCACAAGATTGATTGATAATAATTAAGAATGATTTATGTTAACGCATTAAATTCAGAACATCTATATAGCAATAAAAACAATGTAATAAAGAATATATTATATGATACTAACTTATCGTGCAACCATATCAACATTGTTATATATATCTTACATTTTCTTATGGTTTACATTTTAAGTTGCTTATTTTCTTCAAAGCTTAATCTAATGACGTTTTTTAGAAAAAAATAACTTATGTGCCTGTGTACTTAAAAAAACTAACAAAATATGAATGTCTATTTTGAGAATCTAAAACAGAGATATGGAAAAAACAACAACTTCTTATGTTATCTTCAAGGACTATGATGAAGAAAATATTGAAGTTATTAAAGAAGTATGTTATTGGGCATCAGCAAAGGATCTACGCAAGCTGTTTTGTGTCTTATTACTAACACATAGTATCACAAATCCAGAAAACGTCTGGAATGCTACTTGGAAAAAACTATCACAAGATATATTATGCAACCAAAGAAAAAATACGGATAAACCAAGTAAACTCATGTTTTTATCAAAAGAAAACGTCATTAGAAATTGTGTTTGGGTAAATATAATTTTTTACATGTTCTTTCAGACTTGGAGTAGATTGAATCAATCATGCTTTTGAATGGAAGCTCATTGACGTTGTTTAAGTTTAGAACATATTATCAATAGTATACTCTTCTATTGGTTAAAGCTGTGGCTTTTGTTACAATTTCTATTAATTGAATTTTTTGTTTTACTTTTGTGGAATTCGCATTATTGTAATGTTATAAATTAATAATAAAAGCATTTTCTCATTATTGTCGTATAAGTTCTTCAGTTTTATTACATCTTATTTTTCATAGTATTGTCTTACAACTTTTATTAGATCACTGAAACAAAAAGTGAATTGATGTATCAAACGTACTAATCTTTAATGACCTAATTAAATTCCGTTGTCCCAAAATCAGAATAATGAGAGAGAGAGAGAGAGAGAGAGAGAGAGAGAGAGAGAGAGAGAGAGAGAGAGAGAGAGAGAGAGAGAGAAAGAGAGAGAAAGAGAGAGAAAGAGAGAGAGCGAGAGGGATATGTGTAACATTTCTTTTAATCTGTCTACATACATTTTATGAAAAATTTATGCATGATAATATTTTTCACCTAAAATTAAGAATTACAACATATATACAATACAATTCTAATTAGTGATAATAGAAAATATGTTACTTATAAAACTACACTATTAATTTCAGATTTGGAAAATAAAATTCAACCTTCAATACACAAATTTTTTTGTGATGTTGCAATTATAAATACACGCAATAACTACCTATTGATACTGAAGTTACTTTGTTCCATCTCCTCCATGTAAAATATTGTGTACCAGCATTTTTCTGTGATTGATGCTTTACCTCAAAGACGGTGGTCTTATGATATAAAATCTACCACTTCTAAAACTTTGTATTATTAAGTCCATAATTTGAATCTATATATATCCGCACATGGTGCGGACCGGTCACCTAGTTAGATCATAAAAACAAAACTGTTATTTTTTTAATCGAAAAACTGAAACATAACTATTGAAAAAAATCTTCTGTCAAACTGACAAAGTTATTGGTCACAGTACAAACGTCTGAATACCACATTCGATCAGATAGTAGACGCACCTCAGTTGAAACCTTACACATGGATTTTATTTCCTCCGTCATTTTGTGTTTCACTTCAGCACTCAAGGTTGAATTTGGCAAGATTCCTGCCATCTTTAAACACTTGGAGTTCTCTAGAATGTATCTTGTGAATTCTTTCTCATCTTCTCTACCTGCATATCCTTTCAATCCAAAGATCTTGAGATGAGATGACAAGCATTCTGGAACAGAATGCGGTTGGTTCCATAAATGTGGGACACGGTCAAGCTCTTGATCAATCTCTGGTTCACAGTTGACCGTAAAAATTTCTAGTTTAGGACAGCTAGAGAGCAAAACCACAAGTGATTCACACAAGCCTGTGTCAAATAGAACTATATCACACTGTGTAAGTCGAGGGTAGTTAACGGCGCTTGGAACCATTGAATTGTCCAAAACTAAGAACAGATGCTTGACTGAAGAAAGAGATCTCAGAAAGTTGCCATCAAGGTCGAATTTAAAATTAATAAATGCTTCAACAAGACTAGGCATATACTTAAGCGAGCAAGTGTTTGCCATAGTGTCAGTGATCTCCAGATACACTAAAGTCGGGGTGTCTATAACTAAAGACCCATCAGTATCCTCTTCATCTTCATCTTCATCTTCATCTTCTTGATACTTTTGTGAATAAGTTAAGCTCCGTAAAGAAGGAACTTTGACAATGAAATTTCTTACATTATCATCCACACCATAAATTCGAACCACCTTGAGATATTTGAGAATGGTAAAACCTGATAAAAGCCTAACATGAGACTCTTCGTCTTTGTACACAACAGTGAGAAGATTAAGTGTTTCAAGTAATGGGAGAGAGACTGGACACGGAACATCCACTATAATTTTCTCGGAAAGAGTCAGTTCCTTAAGTGTTTTGCAAGTGTGAAGGCTTCTAGGCAATGGGACTGGCTCGCTTTTCCAAAGGAGCTGGAAAAATAGCCGACGCACGTGACAATCAACTGCTTTCGCAACCCAATTTACAACATCAACATCTACGGGACATTGTGGACCGAGTTGAATACACAAACGTTCTAATATTGCTGGGTTGTATAATCGCATGGACTGGTCAAGAAACCACCAAACACTCTTGCTTTCTGTGTCACTGTTTTTGATATCTTTGTATTCAAGTATTGGCAACATCGTCCACACGAAACGCCATCGTTTAGACAATGTCGTGGTGACCACTGCATCTTTGGTCGGAACACGGGATAATATACGTATGAGCAAATCGTCAGGCAACGAACTGATTCTGTCTTCAGAAACTGTCTTTAGAATCTTTTGAGGACGCTCGGCTTCTGCCATGATTGAAAGTCAGAACTTTGTTCACTTCTCGTGTCCTTGTGAGATTGACTTCTGTCTCATGGAATAAACAAGAAGCACTGCTTAATAATAGGTCTATTTTAAGTTCAAAAAAAATATTAGGTCTATTTTCTGTCAAATTAAGAAACTATAAGATATTTTCACAGTTACAGAAAAATAACTCATCATTCACGTATCCGTGACATTCCATTTTTCGTAATTATCTCTTTGCAAATTAACGGTATATTCACATTTTTAGATTAGGAATTGTTTGCTTAATCTCACATTATTACTTTTTAGTTCTAACTTCTAACGCAATGCATTGAGGAAAAAAAAAAAGTAAATACCATATCACGCAGTTTCATTTAACTAGAAGTTTTCTTATAGCTTTTAACATTATCGTACTTATCTTAAAATAAAATCAAAATTACAATTTGTATATTTATATTTTAAGTTCATTAATTTTAAAAGATAATAGCATAAATATAATTATTTGTACGTTTTTAATAGTTATTTTTGGATCCATGCCCTATAAAATGCTGCCATGTGTCATATCTCACTTACAAAAATATAAAAATTAAAAATAGTATTAATTACCCAAAAAAACTGACATTGTAAAATTTGCTAAACCCTAAACCTTATAAATTAAACTAGATATAGGTCCATGCGTTGCATGGATTTTATTTGATGTTTTAATAATTATAAAATATAAAAATAATAATTCATTTTATAGTTTTATGATTTTTTACATATGTTGTGTGAGATTATTTTAGAAATTAAGAATTCGTTTTCCATAAAAGTTCCGACTAATATTTATATTTTAATAAGAACATATTTTATTTTATGTTTTGATTTTACAAAGAACATAAAATAATAAATTATTTTATATTTTATGATTATTTTTGTATATGTTGTGTGAGATTTATTTCAAAATTTAGAATTTGTTTACCCACATAAATATTGGTAAATATTTATATTTTAATAATCATGACATATAAGTAAATTGTTTTTAAGTTAAAGTTAAACTTATTTAACTTTCATTTTTAAGAAGTGACAATTGTATGATATTGTCATTGACCTTATTTAACTTTCATTTTTTTTTAATTTCACTATAATTCTTAATTCGAACTTGATTTGGTTTAAACTTTTAGGTATGAGTATTAGCTCTGGCCTAAGTTAAAAAGTTTGTACCTAAGGCCATAGCTAATACTCATACCTAAAAGTTTAAACAAAATCAAGTTCGAATTAAGAATTATAGTGAAATTAAAAAAAAATGAAAGTTAAATAAGGTCAATGACAATATCATACAATTGTCACTTCTTAATTTGTGATGATAAATCTTAAAATAAATAAATAAAATATTTTACTATATATTATAATAAGGTTGAAGAAGACGATCTTAAAGGTAATTAAGAAATTCTTCTAATTTAATTTTAAGTATATGATATTAATATCATATATATAATTTGTAATTTTTATATAACTTTATAAACTTAGTTTCATCCCTTAAATATTAAAATCTACATACTAAATCATAAATTCAGATGTTATGGTTTTTTATGTAGTATTAAAAATGGTATTCAAGTTATAGTATCTCAAGCATTTTGTTTTTCATTTTTTGAATTTGTAATTTTTCATATGTTTACTTAATTTATAATTATTTTCAGTTTACTTGTTTCTCATTTTCTACTAAAAGTTAGGCCATTTTATTATATTTTTCTGTTATTAAATAATTTTCTAAATTCATTTTAATGATATATTTTCATAACAACAGTTTAATAAAATAGATTAGAAATACTATATATTAAAATACAGATGTAATAAAATGACGATGAAACATTATTTCTTTTTGACTAAACACATAAAAATCGTTTACGTTGATAATAATAATAATCTATTTTTTATGACCAAACACAAAAATATACCAAACCTGTGTTTGTTTTTGTAGGACCAACTACACACAAATACCAATATAAAGACCAATCACAATAAAATTATATTTTTTTTAAATTTTTTTAGTTAATTAAATTTATTTAGTATCATATTTATTATCAAAATCTCTATGTTTTTAATTACTATTAAATATTATTAAAAAAATTATTTTTCTATGTTTTTGTAAAAAGAAAAAATTATATTTTATAAACTCTTTTATTTATAACTTATAAACAAAAATGTTATCAAATACTATTTTACATTTTTGTTTAAGGTTTTAGAAAATAAAGATCACTATTACAATTATCTTTTATTTAGAAATACCGAAAATTAGATTACTATCATATGATTATTTCAATACTATTAAATATTTTATTAACTACTATTTTACAATTCGTATCACCACTGTTTTTACAGTTAGGGGTTTTAATTAAATAATTTAACAATCAGACATAAGCAAAATGTTACATAAAAGTAACAAATGGCATTGACATTAACTTAACTACAACAACGTAAGTAATTTGAAATTCAAAAAAAACCAGCATAGCTAATTTTATAGCATCTATAAAACAAACACATAAAAGCATAATATGGACATTAACTTACGTACAATATCAAAACATCTTTATTACATACAAACACCTAACTATAACTATGGCAATAACTAACATACGACAACATGACAAATATAACAACAATAAAAATCATCACCAGTTTAAGCACAAAAGAACAGAAAAATATTTCAAATAATTATTCTAATAATTTCTTGATTTTTCAGGTGCATGCACATCATAACCAGAAGCAACAAGGAAAAACAACTCTTATATTCAGAAGATCGTGCAAGCTTGGAACGTTCGATCCGCAAAAATCTACTTTCCGCATCGATCGACGCTAACATATCTTTGTCGACCGATTCTCATAACACCCCAACCGACCTCGCTTCATCATCGATCGACACAGACTACTCTTCGTCGACCGATTCTGATCACTTGACATCGATCGACACCGCTCATCGTACATTGATCGACTCTCATCCGTGAGACATGGTTACACCTTTGATTCTAATCACAGACGAGAATGGAGACATGTATGACCAGAAAGGTCATCTGCGTAATGCAACAGGTCAGAAACTAGATACTCAGAGGAATGTAATCCCTGAACCTGATACTGATGAGGCCACTCGACCTAAGACCTTGGCAGACTACAACCGTCTAGACCAGTACTACGCCAACAGGTCAGCTATTCGTCTCCCGGACGTTCAGAGGGAGAATTTCGAGTTGAAACCCTAGTACTACACACTTGTGGCACATATACCCTACTGTGGGATGCCACATGAGCATCCTATGGACTACTTATTATGTAAGCTCTTCAAGTTCTCACTTGCTGGAGATGCTGCACATTGGCTCAATCAGCTACAGCCAGGATCTCTTACATCCTGGGCTGACATCAAGAATGCGTTTCTGCGCAATTTCTTCGATGCGGGATGAGCTGAAGAACTAAAGAGCAAAATTGCTACCTTCACGCAGAAGCCTGGAGAGTCCTTTAAAGATTCTTGGCTCAGATTTAAGTTCTTCCAGTATGACTACCCACGCCATGTATTAATAAAGTGCAGCTGCTCAGCACTTTCTTTAGAGGAATCGCTTTGAAGTATCAGATGGTTCTGGATACAGTAAGTTATGAAAGCTTTAACACTAGGAATTTGGAAGAAGCTGTGAGACTAATCGAGAACTTAGAGAACAACAACAGCATCAAGAACACTGATTCTAAATGGAGGAAATATGTAGCATTCCTTGGGAATGAACAACTAGATGAGGTAAAAGCTCAGTTAGACAATGTCAACCAGGTACTTATGAGACATGTTTTCTCAGCTGAAGGTGCAGAAGATATATATTCAGAGTTAGCAGATGTGAACTACATTAGAGGAATTGGATTCCAGAGGTCTGGAAATCAGTTTGGAAACAAGAACTTCAGTGGTAATGGTCAGAGGAGTAACTTCAACCAAAATCCACAGTTTCAGAAACCCTACAGCAGCTACATCAACAACAAAGGGTATGGAACTTCATTCTACCATAATCCACCACCACAGACTCAGGAGAACAAGATTGAAGCTATGCTTGATCAGGTTCTTGAAGGATAACTAAGGCTGACAGTGGATTTCAATGGGAAGATTGATTCCATCTACAAAGAGCTGGACACCAAAATTGAAACGTTGGTTACTCAGATAAGGAAGCTTGAGACTCAGGTACTGGTTCAGACTGAAAAAGCTGTTAGAAGGCAAGAAGGGGATGAAGCTATGAGACACCATGTCAAGGCCATACTGGATGATGATTTCTGGAAAGAAATTCGCCATATAAAGATGGAAGAAGACGATCTCGAGGAGGAAGTTTACCACGATCTCGAGGATTAATATTCTCATCGATCGATGCAGTATTATCTATATCTATCGACAGAGTTTGTAGGATATCGATCGACAGGCTACTATACAGATCGATCGATGCCTACCAAGTCGTCTGAAAAGTGCAGTGCCATCCGGATTATGACATACGCGGAGTTCGCAGAAAGACACCAACATCCACCCAGCCCGTCATACTTCACCATCGATCGACATCACGAGCCAGACATCAATCGACGTCATGAACATGTCAACGATCGACATGACCCTATCCCTATCGATCGATCCGACACTATCACCTGCCGAGTGCAGTTACCCCGATTGACAAATCACGAATCAACGCACTCAAATTGCCATTAACCAACACACCCAACCCTACATCACAGCCTATGGACATTGATAAAACCATTATTGAGAGGCATCTGAGGAGAAGGAAGGAAAAGGTTCCTAAACATCTCAAGAGAGAACCAAATGATAAGGAGATGGATGGTTTCACTAAGAGAGTTCTCAGAATCCCACTGGAAAAGCCTTTTGAGGAGGTTTACTATACCCACAGACTGTGGATGTTCTTCAGAGAGACCAGAGAAAATGAGGAGGATATTAGGAAGATGTTTGACCATGTTAGGGAAATGATGAAACAAAAGATCACATTGAAGAAGAAGAGTGATCCTGGGAAATT